AGGTTCACATGAGTCTATTGAACTTTGTAGGGCTTAGCTTGCAGCTTGATTGCTGTTTTTCCCTCACTTCCCCTTATTGGTAACAAATGTAGTCAGCAATCAGAGTGTGTATTCCCATTGAGTCTTAGTCTTGGAAGGGGTTTACACTGAGGGGACCTGACCACTTACCTTGATCTGAATTTTTTTAAAGAAGTAGACTGCTAGTCCTTTCTTCCAAAGCGTCTCTGGTGGACTTGAACTACCAACTTTTCAGTTAGCAAAAGAATGAGTTAACCACCAGAGTCTTCTTTTGGTACCATTGTTGTTGTTGTGTGCCGTTGTTGTGTGCTGTTAAGTCAATTCCAACTTATAGCAACCTTACATGACAGTGTAGAATTGCCCCATAAAGTTTCCAAGATTTTAAGGAAGTAGATTGCCACATTGAGCTCCTTTCTTTTCTAGTAGGCATTCAACATTCTGCTTGTGTTTTATGCTTAGAGCCCATTGCAATTCAGATGAATTACGTTTCATGTAACATGTGGCTAGTGGCTGCTGTGCTGTATGTATAGTGTACCTTAGACCCTGTGCCCAGTGAGAGTAGGGGTCTGGGTGTGATTCGTCTTTGGACCTTGACACTTAGCCTAGTAACTGACTTGGAGTAGGTGTTTAAAATCCATGTGTATAATAAACTACTCACACTGTAGTTTTGGGGAGTGTGGTGGCTCTGTAGCATAAACACTTGACTGTGAACCACAATTTCTGCAGTTTGAGCCTACCATTTGCTCCATGGGAGAAAGATGAAGCTTTCTGATCCCACAAAGATTTACAGTCTCTTAAACTCTATACAGGATCATTGAGTTGGAACCGACTCAACGGCACTTAACAACAACTGTAGTTTTGCTTTTAAATATAGAATTTGAACAAGTAACTGATACTTTTTTTTGATGTTATGTATCTATGTTAAAAGGAGGCACAGTGATTAAGTACTCAGCTGCTAATCAAAAGGCCAAGCAGTTCAACGTCCCCAGCCACTCATGGGACAAAGATGTAACTCTCTACTTCCATAAAGATGACAGTATTGATAGACCATGTGGAAGCTCTATTCTGTCTCATAGGGCTGTTATGAGTTAAAATTGACTCGATGACAATGGATTTGTTGGGGTTTTCTTGGTTTGATCTGTGTTAAAGATCAAAAGATATTGCATGCAACAATTTGATAGTTTGTAGAGGTTGTTGTCATTAAGTGTCATCAAATCGCTTCTGACCCATAACAAGGAGTGGCTGGTGAGCTTGAACCATCGACCTTGTGGATCAAACCAACTTTGTAGTCCAGTGCATTAACCATATCCTTTGTAGAGGTAGAACTTGTTATTTGAATTTTATTCAGTTTGAACAAATATTTCTGGCTTTAGTATAAATACCTGCATTATAGACCTAATTCCTTTTATTTTAAATCCTTCAATTACATTTAAAAAAGAAGCAAACAATGCCTTGTCTCCAGTGATGCCAGAGATGGAGGCAGAGACAATGACGTGGAGAGATGAAGCAGTTGGGGACTTAAGACCCAGAGAGGGAGAGGGGCTGTGTGCTGATGACGCATGGAGGGGATTGTGGCCATGGCAATGAAACAATATATGATAGGATGAATGTAAAGCTAATATCCTCCCATGTAAACTATCACATAATTCACAATAAAACATTAAAAAAAAAAAGAAGCAAACAAACATAAAATTATTTATATGCAGAATTTATATGTGGCCGTGACTTTTTTTCTTCAGGCATTCAAGATAAACTTGACTACATCATGAATCTGAACGTAAAAACTGTTTGGATTACTTCATTTTATAAATCATCCCTTAAAGATTTCCGACATGGTGTTGAAGATTTCCAAGAAATTGATCCCCTTTTTGGAACGATGAAAGATTTTGAGAATCTGCTTGCAGCCATACATGATAAAGGTAAATTAATTGGAAGCCGGGTGGGAGTTGAGAAAAGCATTTCTTCAAATGCTTACTTAAAGGACCCACCCCCACCCCTGCCCTCAACTGTCATTTATTATTCTAATATGATCTTTTCCTAACATTTGCAATGTTTTCATTCCTAAGGTTTAAAATTAATCATTGATTTAATACCAAACCACACCAGTGATAAGCATGCTTGGTTTCAATTGAGTCGGAACCGGACAGGAAAATATACTGATTATTATATCTGGCATGACTGTACCCACACAAATGGCATAACCACACCGCCCAACAACTGGGTAAGTACCACCTTTCCTGATGTACAAAGGGAAATGGGCAGATCTTAAATGATTAAACTGGTTATTTATAAAGCCCTTTTAAAGAAAAAAAAAATGAATGGATGTACTTTATGTCAAAGGAAACACTTCCCAGAGAGATAGAAATAAGATACCCAAGCCTTCTAATGTCAATTAGAGTTCTGCTTTCACTGTAGTGCTGATGTGTTCTGGAAAATCAAAATCTATATCTCATTACCCTTTCCTCACACCATGTCCAACTTAGATTTCATGTCTCAGCAGTACAATAACTGTCTTGCTACTCTTTGCCTTTCTGACTTTTTGACACATACAGACACACCCACCTCCACCTAACAAAACCTAAGCTTTATTTATATAAATGGATCCAACCGTTATCTACCTTCTGTTTGCTGGACCCTTGGCATCTGAGCCTCTGGAGCTTTGAATTGGAATGAACAGATTTGGAGTTCTGGTCTAGAGACATCACATCTGAATTCAGCCTTCCTATCCTCTTGAAAATTTTACTAAATCCAAGTTTTCTCTCTGCTGTTCAAGAACTCTTTAAAGTGTTCAAGAGCAAAGATATCATTCTCCTGGCTTGGCCTGACCTAAGCCATGATAGTGTCAATCACCTCATATGCACGTGAAAGCTGGATGTTGAATAAGGAAGACTGTAGAAGAACTGATACATTTAAGTTATGATGTTGGAGAAGAGTATTGAAAATACCATGGACTGCCAGAAGAAGAAACAAATCTGTGTTGGAAGATGTACAACCAGAATGCTCCTTGGAAGCCAGGATAATGCAACCTCATCATGATGTCGCTGGAGGACATCAAGCTTGGAAAAAATGGAGAGTCAACAAAAAAGAGGAAGACCCCCAGTGAGATGGATTGACACAGTTGTTGTTGTTAGGTGCCATCGAGTCAGTACCAACTCATAGCGACCTTATGCACAGCAGAATGAAATACTGCCGGACCCTGGGCCAACCTCATTACTGTTGCCACGCTTGAGTCCATTGATGCTGCCACTGGCCAATCCATCTCACTGGGGGTCTTCCTCTTTTTCTCTGACCCTCCACTTTACCAAACATGATATCCTTCTCCAGGGGCTGGTCCCTCCTGACAATATGTCTGAAGTATGAGAAACAAAATTTGGCCATCTTGACTGCACTTCGTCCAAAACGGATCTATTGGTTCTTTTGGCAGCCCATGACACTTTCAGTATTTTCCTTCAACACCATAACTCAAAAGCATCAATTCTTCTATAGTCTTCCTTATTCACTGTCCAGCTTTTGCATGCATATGAGGTTATTGAAAATACCATTGCTTGGGTCAGGAGCACCTTAGTCCTCAAGCTGACATACTTACTCTTCAACACTTTAAAAAGGTCTAATGCAGCAGGTTTGCCTAATGCAATACGTCATTTGATTTCTTGACTGCTGCTTCCATGAGTGTTGATAGTT